AAAGATTTTTGTGATTAGATGATTAATTAAAGTAAATAAATAATAATAAAGTTAAAGTAATAAATATATATTTATCTACTTTAAAAATAAAAAATTAATTAATTAAAGATAAGGTTAAAGCAATAAATATATATTTATCTACTTTAAAAATAAAAAATTAATTAATTAAAGATAAATTTAAGGTAAAAATTAACAATTATTTTAATATAAAAGTACTAAAAAGTCTAAAATAGCTATTTTGTACAAAAAAAATTATTATACAATTTAAATTACACAATCTAAATTACCAACAACCTAAATAATTTAGTAATCGTCTCATTCCGCTGAAAATAAAAAATTCTGAATTCGAGTTATATGGTATACAAGTGAGATGTGATAAGGAATGAAAAATGAATGTCTTTTATTGTGTAACTAAGATAAAAAAAAATTACACAACCTAAATCATTATATAAAAATAAATCTTTTAATATTAACAATTATTCTTTTATTTAATACTTTTTATTTTATAATTTAACCTATGAAATAAAAAAACTCATTCATATAATCAACCTAAACCATATTCTAGCACCGGTATACTTTTCTTTAGGAACTAGCATTATGAGAAAATTATATTTTTCATATATCAAGGGGCATATTTATCAGGTAAGGTAGGCCAGCAAATTATGGCAATTAGCAATCTGAAATCAAATGTCTTTCAGGCGATCCCTTTAGATGAAACTATAAATTTTGGAAGTATGTCAAAAAAAAAGTGTTAGGAAGCATTGTAGAGATGAACTCAGAGTGCTTTGTTGGAAATGGAAATACAACACTTTAGAACACGGGCACCATCTAACGACATAGGTTAAGGATGTTTTGATCTTTGAAAATTAATTTATATAAAAAATAAAAAATTATATTAATTTTAATATTTATATCATGTAAATATATTTAATTAAATAATTAATAATTTTACTTGCAGTATTTATTAATATAATATAGACTAATGATATAAAAATACTTCTTTTACCACTAAATAGACTTATTTTGTTTTATATTAATTTGAAAAAAATTTACTATTTTTATTTATTTTATCTTTAAAAATAAAAGAATAAAGAAATTTCTTATAATAAAATTAAAATAAAAAATTTATCTTTTTTAAAATA